AGTTATCACGGCATTGCTGTTTTTAGTCCAGTCATTAATGGTAATATGCGACGCGCCATCCTCCATATCTTTTTCATCGTCTGTACAGTCCATTTTTGTAGAATTGTGGTTTGATTTAGATATGAACTGGGCAATTAGAAGAGTATTTCTGAATGGTTTGGTAGTTTACAGTGATAGCATTCATTAATATCTTTTTATTATGTTCAGGTGTTGGGGGCAATTTAGTAGCTGTACAAGCTAGTAGACTTTCAACATTCCTCCATCAAAGGGGCCGTCCAGGAAAAATGCCAAAAGGAGTTAAATTTAAGGGGTGTATTGATACATTCTTCGGCTCAGGTAAGTTTTCTATAGCATGAATATCGGTCATAAAATATAAATACGTAAGCCTCCTCTGCAGACAGTTTCTATATGATAGTTATAAAACGAGTATTGTCTACAAAGGAAGCCCAAACGTAAGTGAGCCGGTTAAGATATAGTTGCCAGCGGATAGGAGCCAATYTCCATCAAATGTCTTTTTTAAATAGCTATTTGACACTTTATTTCCAGGAATCCATTCCAGAACGGCGAGGGTGTTGTTATTTCTGGTCATTCCTGGTCATCTAATATTTCTGTACACAATTAAAGTCATGCAGGGCGGGCATACATCGTTCACTGCTATCTTCACATCGTCTTATATATTTACTGGAGTACTACAGGTACGTTAATTGTATGACGTATTACCAGTATTGGTAAAATGCATCATTGGATTAATCAATATGGCGTCTCCTCCTTCAGAGTTCGTATATCTAATGAAGCATCCCTTGACGTCATTTTCATTAGCATATTGTAAGATTAAACCCTCATAACTCAAAGACACAGCACTGAAATGCAGGAATATTTCACCGTTCAATTGTTTACTTTATACAGAATAAGTTCACAGAGAATCGGAAATTATTTTGTCAGGCATCATAGGCATGTAAATCTGGACGTTGATAATCGAGTGTAAATTGGTTTACTAGGTATTGCTACTACTTCTACTAGCACATTGGATGGTATATTGGATATGGCGGCAAGGAAAAGATCCCGACAACTACGCCATTCCTTATTTAACAGCATTTGGTGATCTACTGGGAACTGGGCTCTTAGCACTAGCATTCCATCTACTGTGGCTTATAGGCGATAGAGACAGCGACGTCGGGGATTAATTCTTATCGAAATTGTATTTTAAAAAAACACTTAAACTAGAGTGGTTTTCATAAACCCGTGAAACAAAGTGTAATAATTAGAGCGTAATAGATCGTAATAGTCTCGTAAAGACAATAAAAAACAAAAGAGCCAAAGTGTAATAGCGATAAATACGCTAAAGTGTGTTTCACGGGTTAATGAAAACCACTCTATAAAAGGTAATATATTTTAGGAAAACAAACATTATTATAAACATTTAAAAACAAATAAACAAATTTTGATTGGTACTGGTGTACAGATTTTTTGGGGCTGAGAGGAATTGGGGCGAACTTAACCTGCTACAACTGACTCGTCCCTATTTTCATCCGGACAAGATGGGCAAAAGAGTCTGTTGTTTTCCYTATTTCCAGAACCTTTGCGCGATCGATTTTCYCRCATATACGAACATTTGATTATAAACCATTSGGAAAGCACCTTTCAACAAGAGGGATATTTTTCAATATAAAAGAAACTATATCGCAAAGGTTCTCGGACGCCCGTGGACCCTTAACTACTTACGATTTGTGAAGTGTCTATACCAATATGGACAAGRGCAGGCGCGGATCCAGGATTTTGAAGTGTGGGGTGAATTGTTAAAATAATGTAATAAAATGGAAGCCAACCGCCGAAGGGAATTCCCCCCCGAGAAATTTTGAAATTCAGACTCTTGGACATGCGATTTGCAGCGTTTTGTGAGCCTTTTTAGTAACTCTTTATAATATTGAACAAATTTAAACGGAATTTAGTACGCAATGTTAACTTCAGACAAAGAATCTCTCACGGTTAAAACTAGTATTTATCAAGAACAATAAGAGTTTACCGTGTGTACATTGATTCCTAAATTATGCAATCATGAATATGCATTACCCACTAATGTCATCTACGCTATTTACTGCCCCAAAAGTGATTGTTCCATCATCCTTCTTGGATGGAGTTCCATAAATGCTCGGCAAATGGTTGATAGAATCAATCACAGTCATTGGAGAAATCAAATAATATTTCAATATATCAGGAAGATGTCTTTAATCATGGGCTTGTGCATCGTCGACGTCGTTGTTGACCATGAAGTTTTTGAACGTTTGCCAGTCATCTTTCTCCATATCTAATGAAAAGTAATGCCGTTATCACACAATACATTTCAAACACTTAAAGCCTTAAAAAGTACTAAACTAATAGAACTGAATATATCTAAATTGTGTTAACGATTAGATAATGTTCTTGAGAATTCCATGCAAATAGATCCATGGAACATAGAACGCAGGACTTTTGAAGTGATAGTTGGGATAACTTTTCATAGCTGTGAGATATGAGAGTTATTACATGTAAATGCAGTCCCTTATTGTACATCTTACAAACGAACTTTATCTTACTTTTAAAAATACGAAAGATTTGAATGAAATCTTGGACTTGAGATTTGTTAGGGCATGGTACTTGAAGTATTGTCTTGTCGTTGTGGAAATCAAGGTGGGTTCCCGTGGATCGAAGCCAATTTTTTTCACGACTCGATATTGGTACTTCAACTGCTACACGTTTGCCATCTTTGCTTACTGCCATAGAAGCCTTCAATAAATGTTCAAAGTTCAGTAGAGTCCTTCGCTCGACGCCGCCATTTTGAATTGGGGCAAAACGCGCGAAACTTATATAAGGAATCTTGATCACTTTGATCTTCTACAACTCCGCTAAATTTTGTGGTACTTTGAAAATCTTCCTTGCTCCTATGATAGCCGTGTAGTGCATGAGCTACAACAACAGCCCCCCCCTCCAAAAAGAAAAAAGAAAAAKAAAGAAAGAAAAGAAAAGAAAAAAAAGATTTTGTTTTGTAAATGGAAAGCATTGATCAATGAATATTAGAAAACTTTTTCTTGCAAAAAAATTGTATCGTAAACGTATTTAAAGCAGTAATCTTTATATCATTTCACTTTGCATCCCTGATGACTGATGACTGATGAAAAGTTGAAAATGTGATTTGCCATGATTTTTACGCGTTTTCCCACAATGTAAAATTACGGACATCTACATCTACATCTACAAGTTTAATCCATAAAGGTTGCCCGTTACATGGATGTGAATGGTCGGGGTATGCATCTACTAGCAGGAGCACTTACACAGTGAACATGAAGTCGTTTGTTTAAACTGTAACGTGACCACGAAGAGAAAAAAACGCGTTTTATCACAAAAAATATACTCTTACAGACTCACCAGATTCACCAACGTAGTAAACGTTGCTTTTGTGTTTTCGAAACTTCCAGATTCTTGAAATATTTCAGTAATGATTTGTAGYTTTGCGTCTCTATTATTTTCGGTATAATGCTTTAAGTCTGTAAGAAACCAAAATTCATGGCATCAATAKTGTTAAATCCTCGGCTATGATTTGTTAGCTCCCTTGCTCTCCCCGGGGTGTGGGGATCAGTGGTTTCAATTGGCCATTCCGTAGATTCAAAAGGAGAATGGGAACGAATGTGAAAATATTCCATTCATCGAAAAATGAACCTCACCACATGAAAGACCTCACTACAATAAGTGTTCTTGTCAAGTTTGAGCATATTTGGTTGAATATATACTCACCAATCAAGGAGAGAATGTTTGGTTTTTGCGGACGCTGATCAAGAGCTCCATACATTCTTTGTACTTTTTTCGAGTTATAAACGCTTGAAACTCTGTAATTATTAATCCGAATACTCTCAAACYCRGCAGCTWTACTAATTTTAGTATGCTCTTTCTTRTCCTGGTGTCTGTTTTTTGATTGCTTCAAACSSTATCGAGTTTGTGACTAGTCACCAGTCCCTTTTTGAATTTCGGAACGGGCAATAGACCTAATCGGCTTCAACCCAATTCAAACCACCCAGGAGTAAGTTTCATTGTTCGTTGTATTTTCATTTCACAGTTGAATTCCTAGAAACAAAAGTTCTTTTTCCCACWGGATTTGAATTGGGTGGCAACGWACATAGCAACGCCGTTAGACRATTAGGTCTATTGACTTGTCCACTRCATGRTCATTKATTTACCATCAAATACGSAGAATTCCTTWGAGAGGAAGTACTTTTCGCCTTTCTTRTTATCAMTGGTGTCTGGAACAACGTCTTCGTAATTTCCTAATCCCACTTTTTTAATCCTAGCGCCGACAATTTCCTTCAGTTCCAAAGATTGATTTTCTGGGTTATATTTGACTTTAGCGTATGCAAATAATAATGGAGATCGTTCTTGCCTTCCTAGTGCTGATGGCGCTTTTGTTTTCTAAAAAAAAAGTTGCAAGTAAAYGCAAGTTAATAAGATTCTCCTCTATGTTACTATAGGGGGACGTCTTTCCGCCAAGTAGGATATGATTTTTTGCCTTCGTGTCTAGCCTTGGACAGGGTATACCATTGACCTTACTTGTGTTGAATAGGGCTGTCTTGTGTATGTTTTCTATTTCTTATACAGGGCCGCCGGGTTGTTGTTTAAAGCTCGATTACCGCCAATCCAGGGTTAACTCCATAGGTTTTTTAAGATTTAACCCAGGATTAGCGCTTATCGAGCTTTGAACAACCCAGCTCATGGTGTCAATCTTATCGATCAGTATACAATAAGTCAAGATGAAAAGAACAAAGGATTATAATCCTACCGAAAAAACTGAGACGCCCGCTTTCATTTTGTTGAACCAAGGAAAACGACTAGAGAGGTCTACACGGGCATCAACTTCCTCTGTCTTTTCTCTGTCTCCAGTAATTTCGAGCTTGGAACTGTACACTACATTCGTGATAAGATATGCCTTTTTCTTCTCATATGGCCGCATCTTGGCTSTRTCCAGTTTTGCTTKGCTTAGTATTAGCCTCAGCCCCATGTCCCTAGAAAATGTATCACCTGGTTGTAATATAATATAATTTAATAGAAAACAAAAGAAAACAACAACATGACTTTTGAAAGGTCGGAACTGTTAATTTTACCGAATTTATTCCTAAGGGTCTTTCTCCCGGAATTGCCACCTTCTAAGCACTATAACTTTCTTTCATTTCTATATCGTGTTTATCATAGTGCCATCCGGTCCTCATATATTTATATCTTTAAATTATTCTATTACCGCAACCTAACATCTATTTCACCCCGACCTGCTCCCAGTCTGGCCTTGTAACTCAGCTGGTAGAGCATCGGTAGTACAAAACCGAAGGTCGTGGGTTCGAATCCCAGCGAGGTCGGAAATCAATTTTTCCGAATTTATTCCTAAGAGTCTTTCTCCCGGAATTGCCTCCTTCTAAGCACTATAACTTTCTTTCATTTCTATATCGTGTTTATCATAGTGCCATCCGGTCCTCATATTCATATCTTGATGAGTTATTGTAATTATATTTACCTAAAGAATTCTTCTTGTACACTTCCTAACTGTAGTTTTCCGTAATTCACATTCTTTTTAGCTGTAACGGCCACAACTTCTTCAACGTTCACTCCAACCTCCAATTGATTGGAAGCTGTCGCTGCGCCATCCATCTGTCTCTCTTCTCCCCGTTCCAAATGTTTCTCAATCAGTTTTCGTACATCTGATTTCAAATTGTCGTGTTCTACAAGGTATTTGTCAAGTGTCTCCATAACGACCCTCCTGTTACCCCCTCGGAATGCACTGCGTTCCTTGACAATAAGTGCCAATGGTTGGAAAGTAATGTCTTGACCATGTGGAACGACATAANTATCATAGTGCCATGCGGTCTTCATATTCATATCTTTACATTATTCTATTACCGCAACCTAACATCTATTTCACCCCGACCTGCTCCCAGTCTGGCCTTGTAACTCAGCTGGTAGAGCATTGGGAGTACAAAACCGAAGATCGTGGGTTCGAATCCCAGCGAGGTCGGAAATCAATTTTTTCCGAATTTATTCCTAAGGGTCTTTCTCCCGGAATTGCCTCCTTCTAAGCACTATAACTTTCTTTCATTTCTATATCGTGTTTATCATAGTGCCATGCGGTCCTCATATTCATATCTTGACTAGCTTTTGAAATTCCTACTTCACGACGTCAGGGTGAAGGAGCCTGTGCCACTTCCCCTTCCATGCCAAGACAAGTATTGCTGTGAGCGAATTAAGATGAGTTATTGTAATTGTATTTACCTAAAGAATTCTTCTTGTACACTTCCTAGCTGTAGTTTTCCGTAATTCACATTCTTTTTAGCTGTAACGGCCATAACGTCTTCAACGTTCATTCCAACCTCCAATTGATTGGAAGCTGTCGCTGCGCCATCCATCTGTCTCTCTTCTCCACGTACCAAATGTTTCTCAATCAGTTTTCGTACATCTGATTTCAAATTGTCGTGTTCTACAAGGTATTTGTCAAGTGTCTCCATAACGACCCTCCTGTTACCCCCCCGGAATGCACTGCGTTCCTTGACTATAAGTGCCAATGGTTGAAAAGTACTGTCTTGACCATGTGGAACGACATAATAACTGGGACCGTAGTTTTCTTTGGCAAACTCTCGTATAACGCTGTGTCGCATTGTACTAAAAAATCAAAAAGATGAAATGGAGTCAGAAAACTTATTAAGTATTTATATTTCATGTTAACACATTCCCTATCAAGGAAATGCTTTGTTCTTCAGGGACCGCGGAGCAGGGGGGGGGACTTCCCTATAAAACATGTCAAACATGGTATAGGTATTCTCGACGGACGGATTGCAAAATGACCCTAAAAGGTACGCATAAATTAATTCAGGCATTGGGTCCAGACCCTAAAAGGTACGACCATTATTGGCGTCTTTAACAAGATAGAAGCTCAAGTTTAACAAACTGTCGATAGGTTGTTGAGGTTCATAAAATCTATTTCTTTATAAACACTTTTTTTTTCATTTTTTCCCCTTTTCTTCGAAAATTGAGCCTAAAAGGTACGAAGTCAGCTTAGGACCCTAAAAGGTACGCGAGGGTTTTATCTTCGACCATAAAAGGTCCGTCGAGCATACATAACGTGTTTTATAGGGAATTCCCCCACCCCCCGGACCTAATAGTTACTATTAAACACCGACTAGTAGTAAATGTTTCGCAGACGGATGAAAATGACGCTAACATCTGACATCGACGATTTCAGGCAATGTATCCTTGTTATTTTGCCAGACTAATAAGCCTACCAAAACAAAATAGTGTCAAACCTGYCACCTTTAGCTTGAAACATGATTCCAGAASCAAATGCTAAACTATAGTTTTAATACAATTTTCACTGTTCATAAATCCACACAAAAAGCTATAAAGACTAATTAAGAGTGCCCTGAGAATGATAACACTCTTGTTTTGAGACCTCCTAAAAGAAAAGAATAAACAAGCCTCAAAACAATCACTCATCGACCAATGCATATAAAGTGTCTTAGTACGACGTGGTGAAATCTCTGGCCTCCACGCGTTTCAGAGGACTATGTTTTGGGTCTTCAAAGTTCAAACTTTCGGGCTTTGACTTACAAAATTCAAGGGTAAGAATGAATGATTTGGTATCACAACGCTCTACTTACCTGAAGATGAAACTTTACTCCAACTCCGTCGAAAAGAATTGATCGGAAAAAGTTCACTCATATCAAATGTACAAAATGTTAATCATTTGTTATGACGTCATAGAATCGAAACTGAAATGCTACAAAATTAGAAAGATTACAGTAAATGCYTATAAATAACAAAATACCTTATATTGTAAACTGACTAAATACTGAACACGGTCATTTTGTAAAATTCCAACCGCCAACATACATCATTTATATGTTGGGTGTAACGTGTACAACCATGTGATTTTCGCTCTTTTCTYTCTAGCTATAAAATAGATCACAAATCATTCGCGGATACTTTGAAATTATGATTATGGTTATTGAAGTACAATCTGTAGTTGTATGGCAAATTAAAGGTTTAAAATTGAAAAATCAACCACTCTATCGCGATATATCCATACAAGTTAGCGTCAGAAATATTTCTTCAAATTGTGATTAAACGACTAAATAAAGAAATAAGGAATAGATAGATAAATAAGTATAAAATTAATGCATGAATCTAATAAAAGCAAAAAAAAAAATATATCAAATAGTCTTAAAATAGTTATGGTGAAAAGTATCGTGTGGCTTCAGCATCGATTTTTTATATTTTAGCCAGAATGTTCCGCTTCCGCTAATGCAGTGCCTACACCCTAAAATAAACCAGCAATATTATAAACAATTTTAGCTAAATAGATACACTTTATTGATCACTGAATATCATAGCAGCTCGTATAATGTTTTATGTATACTTATCTTTAGCATTAAAAATTCTCAGATTCTCGAGATTATTCCTGTCATGACGACTCGTCATTTTGTGACAATATACACTGACAGTACTTGATCAAATGAACATAAGTGTCTTTAATACAATTCGCCTGTGATTTGATGGAGTCGAGTCGGCTTATCTCTCCATCTATAGACGCATGTCCGTYCACTACTTTAATGCTAGCCTCATATATGGCACTATTTGGCGATGTAGTAAACTCAATCTGATAGAGAGTGTCTTTAATCAAAGTATTTTTAGCTTTGAGGGCATGTCGAGCACCGCACGAGTCACATTCTTGGTTTTTATACGARGACTTGAAAGTTTGSACTTTACTTCCAGGCATTTCCCGYGATGCTTTGTTTATTCGCTTCAAGACGAGTGGCCTACAAAGCGCGACTTTTGTTTCACTGATTTGGCGGTTAATTGACGATACCGCGAATACTGCAAGCTCTTTAACGATTGGTTCGCGAGTTGAGATATCTTCCATTGTTAAGCAAGGACACCARTGGTCTCTCACAGCAGCGGTCTGACAGACACGTTCAAGAGGATCCAGCCGCTTGAGTAGACTATGGCCCGGCGCAACATCCTTCGGATACCAAGGATACGATAAAATGTGTTTCAAAGTTGCATAAATGTCAAAGGGAGATGTTAAAATTCGCGAATTGAACTTCAAATTGTTATATARTCGGCTGTACCTTTTGGCGAACCAATCAGGTACAGTAATCGAAAAATGTGGAAGTCTTTCTTCGAGTTTTCCTTGTAAAGTTTGTTTTCGAAACCCACCGAATCTATACCCATGATCTCCAAAAATAAATAGAAAAGAGTTCTCTAAATGTRACTCGTTCTCCATTGTCTGTATTACACGCAAAAGATCATTATCGTCGTGTCCGATAGCATTGGGCTCCCTGTGTACGAGAGTCGAGAAGTTTATAAACGCAAATTTAGGGTTTTTCTTATAAGTTCTAAACAAGCTGAGAAGGTAATTGAATGTAATATTGTGCATTCCCTGGTTACCCGTGCAAAGTTCATTTCGTATATGATTTTCTGCCTCTAACCAAAAGTACCGTCCGTAATGGTCMGTAGGAGGAWCGCGAAATCCTTTCAATCGATAATTAAACGCGCCTACTGTCGGAGCATCTTCGGAATACAAKGTAACGTATCCAAGAGCTTCGTATTCTTTAAAGATCCATCGCCAATTGTCGACGGTTTTAGCATGTTTATACGTTTTTCTACTTTCGGGCTGATTTCTTTCTGGTATTCCGGTTAACATTGCTGAGAGCTGGGCAGTGGTACCGTCTCCCACAACTGTCTGGCCTGGAAAGATAAAAAAAGTTAACTCTCCTGTTCAAATTGTTGTGAACTGGATTTTTGCGTCACAACGGTAACTTACAACAATAACAGCTTTTCGCGCAACATCATCCTACAGGGAGACGTGTCAGTTTTTTGTGCGCGATTTTTCATGAACTCAGAGTTTCCGATCTAACTCAGTCAGAGTCAGAGTCAGAGAGTGAGTCCGAGTCCGAGTGCGAGTCCGAGTGCGAGTCAGGGTCAGAGTCAGATCAGAGTCCGATTTAACAATGTATCATCATTTGGACARCATTACTCAAGATTATGGCTCGGTTCTCATTATTTATTCGACGGTTATTCCGTACTGAAAGCCTTCTTTATCACTATGCAATCAGTTAAAAACAATTCACGTGTACCTTTCAGAAAGACAGTGTTCAGAGTTTTATTCAAGTACTCGTATGTGTTTGGCATTTTGCGGATAAAGTTGGCTGCTGATGTCGAGTCGAATAAAATCATGATAATGTTGACTGGGATGCCTGCACCTGTTACTCGTCTACTCGCTACTTCTGGTTTGTGGGATGTCTGCATGTGGAACTCAAYGAAGTCATCGGACATYCCACCGCCTATAACATCAAGTCTGATAAAATCTGTATTGATGCGGACTTCACCTTTGAATGGCACTCCTAGAAAAGATTGGAACTATTAMTATATAACATCGATCTTGTACCCAGAGCCCGGCAGACTCTATTCTAGCAGAGGTCAATGCGTGAGACTGCTGATATTTAGTCGAGAAGACTCTGTTCTGGAGATTGGTTTAAGAGACTGACAAGAGAAGGAGGCGTTGTGTAGGCAGCCCTTTTTCAAAACAGACTGTTCATAGGGGGTACATTTTTCTTAGCTGGGGGATTTGGCATATTTTAGGCGGGATACATTTTCTCACACTTCTGGTGAGACAGACTAAACACTGCCCCTCCTCTTGACAATAATTAACGAATACTCTTTACTATTTATCCACAATAATGTCGTACCATCAACGAAAACAAAGTAAAATTCATGTCTTTTACTATCACAGTCCCCATCGAGGACGATTTCTTCGTTGTTGGCTGGATCATCCCGTCTACTGTTAGGCTGTACACAAAGGCTGCTGCCTTTTTTCCTCAAGTAGTTATTCACTAGCTCAAACTTCAGATCACATTTTTGATGGAGAGTTAAAGAMGTTCCTGTAGAGCCTGGTTCTGTGTTTCAAAATAAACAAGTTTAAAAATTGTTAGCATTTTCAAATCAGCAGAAAATACAGTCAATAAATTCTTCTTTATGGCACTACTTACTTATAAGACGCAAACATCGTCCACTCAGAAYATGCCGAATTGCTCCATTTCTTTCCATCTTAAAGTAAGCATTTTTGCCCTGGCAATTTTCGTGAAAGACCACTGGCTGTAGACCGCTAGCCAAACCTACACCGCCGTAGGGATGAAGGCATTTTTCTGACAACTTGTGTTTTATACAACCATATCCACCTAAAAGTAACATTAAAATTAACTTCATTCAAGACATTTTGGAGGGTCATATTCAACCGGCATCCCTTTCGAGTTTTGTTTGTTTGAAGATTAAAATACATCGTAATACAAGCAAAAAAATATTTTTCCTTTTTATCATTTAATTATCTATGCCAGAAATACCTATATTTCTCCTGTTCGAAAAGTTGTTATTTTCGCAGGTCAAAACACGAGAAAATAAAATCCGTTCAGTCACTAGTGAAAAAAAAAAACAAAAACAAACAAACAAACAAAAAAACATTCGTGGTATCTACATGTGTTGAATGTAAATAAAACTGTTATTTTACTCCATTAATTATGACAGAAAAAAATTACTTTTTCGCTTTAATTTTGCCAAGACCGCATCATTTCCACAAAACGACTCAAATTTGTAGCTTGGCAAAAATATTTTCGGTACTGCGTTCAAACCCCGTTTTCTGGCCAAAAAGACGATGTATATCTGGTAAAAAACGCCGAGTATTGAATTCTGTGAAACTGCGACGCAGTGCATGCATGAGCACAAAACCGTCTCTCCCGTACCCCCTAGGGAAATTCTCGACGTCAGTTTCACAAAAAAGAAATGGCGGACAAAATATAACACGATATAAATTTTACCAGTATATACTCATGCATTTTCTACTAAGCAAATGATGCTGGAATATTATACATAAAACTGCTATCAGAAATGCTGATAGAGCTTTTTTTTGTAGTAATTACAGTTTACTAAGTAAAAGTGATCTTTTGTATTTTCATTACCTGGTTCGATAGGGCTCTTAACCGCAGCACCTGTTTCCATGTTGTTGCTCAGCAAGTTCGGAAATACGATAGGCTCCGACACATTGACTTGATTATCATTTCCATTAGGTCTAGTAATTGTTCTATAATGCACCGAAACAACATCCAAACTTTCAAAACGAAGCACGTTATTTTCAAACGTTGCCGAAGCGACTCCGCATTCAAGCGGCGGTAAGTTCTTCATAAATGGTCGTACACTATCGTGAAATGGATTTATATTTGGCAATTTACAAGCTGCAGTCTTGGATATATGATCTAAATAATCATCGCTGATCTCGCCTCCTAAATCCACATATAGTTCGTCCAGGTTTACAAAGTAAAGCAACGGTAGGATTATGACGACCATAAAAGCCACTGTTAATCGTAGATGTCGCCATGGTAGTAACAATAAACGAARTAACGGATGGCAATAGAACCTTGCACTTCTTTTTAGCGCAAACATATTGCTTTGGGCACTAGTCTTCCAAAGCTTAGTAGACTAGAATTATTTTTTTAGCGTTTAGAGTCGGAAATGAGTATAATTTATGTTAATCGTTCTTTTGTTTAKACTGCCAAGTGCAACGAACCATAAGCAGATGATACACAGGCAACCCATCAGGAAAGAATTCATCTTTCCCAAGTCTAGCAAAACAAAGGCTTTTTGGCGTTAATATTTTTAAACATTTTTTATAGGATATCTCTTTGCATTTTTTGGAAATCGTTGCATTAAAAACAATATTTACAAAATGATATTTGTAAAATTGTCGAAAGTCACTAAACTAGAGAGTGGTTTTCATTAACCCGTGAAACACACTTTAGCGTATTTATCGCTATTACACTTTGGCTCTTTTGTTTTTTATTGTCTCTACGCGACTATTACGATATATTACACTCTAATTACTTACACTTTGTTTCACGGGTTTATGAAAACCACTCTATGAATTTAAAAATCCCGTTCGCTTAGACTTTATTACTTGATTATTTCAGATTTTTTTTAATCCAAGAWACAATTCTAGTCCTTTAATTAGAAATGATTCAAAGAGTTTTCGATTACTGGCAATAAGTTGAAAAACTCGGCTGCGCCTTGGAATAATATTACAAATATTATAATAATGTTTAATTAACTGCATGCGCTATTTATTACATATAAATCCTGTTTGCAAACTGTTAACATACGAAAATATTGTATCATTAGTCGCAAAAGAATCAAGAACGACAAATTTTATTAAAAAATCTCAATTCTTTTAAGATAAGTACACACATCTTACTAAAGACAATGAAGATCATTTTGTTAAAAACATAAACAAAACATTTGGACATTGAGTCTCCTGTTCACATTCAGATACTTTGTAAACAACAAGTCGTATTAAAGGGACCAATCCATAATTTATGTTTATATTCACTTCAAAATCATTTTCAAATCGTTTTTCAATAGCCAGTGTTCAAAACGTTGCCATTTGCAAAAAATATATTGTCAATTTGGAGAGACATAAACACCTAAATAAATACAATAATTTATAGTTTGATAATTCTCATTTCGGAAGAGGCAAGGTGTCCTCAATATTTAGCAGTCTGGGACCATGGAACTGAACCAATTAAAAAATGCTTCGGTAACCTTTGACGTGACGCCTCGACTTGGATCGAACAAGGCCTCCAAAACAGCTACATTCTTCAAAGAAACTTCAAAAGGTACTTCCTGTAAGAGAATCGGGAAAAGCCATCGTTTGTGAGAATGTTTATATGTTATAAATCTCAATCAAAATAAGTAATAAAAAACGAAGAGTTGTTGTTGTTGAAGTTGTTGCTGCTGCTGTTGTTGTTGTTGTTGTTGCTGTTGTTGCTGATGTGGCTGTTGTTGTTACTACTGTTGTTGTTGTTGTTGTTATTGTAGTTGTTATTGTTGTTGTTGTTACTATTGTTGTTGCTGTTGTTATTGTTGTTGTTATTGTTGTCCTACCTGAGGGATGTTTTCATCAGGTACACTCAATATAYTCGAGATCTCCTGGATGTGATCTTTAAGTTTGGCCCGTATGGTGTCGTCACGTCGTTGTTTGGCAGAAAGTGCCCGTATVCCCATTGTTCGTTTCTTACGTCCTGTGTTGCCTGACGGTGAACTTTTACTGTCTTGTGTTCCTGGTACACTCAAGTCACTTTTACTGGTTTTGGCTGTTAAAAACAATGAATTTAGTGTTGACAATGGACGGAATCACTGAAATAATACTATTTATCAATAATTATCTATAAAATAGCTGTATTTCTCCACTAAATAAAGTTGTTATTTTCACTAGTAAAGATTTGGAAGTCCAAATTTGAACTTACGTGCTAGTGCATTTGGTTGTGAAGCAGGCTGTAAGTCGCTTTCCGCTATCTCTAATGTACTCATCAACCCCTCATGTAAAGACTGGACGAGCTCCATAGGAACAGAACGTACACCAGCCTTAAGACTAGCTGCTCCAAAGGTGGAGGACATATTGAACGACTTGGAATTYAGTGCATATGTAAGCATGAGAGTGCTGCTTTCTCTATCTTGCGAGGAAGGTGAGTTATTTGTCTCAAGCTTGCCCCAGTACACTGATAGCTCAAACTCCTTGGCACTTGACGTTGAAAATCCATTTACGACAGTTTTTACTTTATCGRCAGGATCTTAAATGAAATTAGGTACAATGTAATCGTAGTTTACGTCTGTTTGCGGTTACTTTTGGTTTACTTAAAGCGATTTTTTCTTCTCTTTTTTGTTATAGTAACTGCACGACTAACCCTGACAAAATTCACGATGTGAAATCAGCGTTAGACTGCCGTCAATCACGCTTTTCAAGCATTCCAGCGGTTGGCGTCAAATTACTTTAGTTGATTGACAACAGTCT